CCCCGAGCCCCCCCAGTCCCTAATGTCCCCCCTTTTCCCCCCCCGTCCCTAGATGGTCCCTACAGAGCTGGTGGAGAAGGAGTTTTGGCGGCTGGTGAACAGCATCGAGGAGGACGTGACGGTGGAGTACGGCGCCGACATCCACTCCAAGGAATTCGGCAGCGGTTTCCCCATCAGCGACGGCAAAAGGAAGCTCTCGCCGGAGGAGGAGGTGAGGAGAGACCCCGTCCCCAATCCCACGGGGGTGTCACCGTCGCTCGTCAGGGGGTGACGCTGCGCTTTACGTCCCCCGTAGGAATACGCCGGCAGCGGTTGGAACCTGAACGTGATGCCGGTGTTGAAGCAATCGGTGCTGTGCCACATCAACGCCGATATTTCGGGGATGAAGGTGCCCTGGCTCTACGTGGGGATGGTCTTTGCTGGCACATCGAGGACCACTGGAGCTACTCCATCAACTACCTCCACTGGTGGGGAGCTTGGGGTGGGGTTTGGGGGGCTGTTCGGGTGGTGAGGGATGATCCTGGGAGGTGTCATGGGGTGGGAGGAGGGTTTTTGGGATGCCCCTGACCTTGTCCCCCCACCCAGGGGTGAGACTGATGGGTTATGGGGAGGAGAGGAGCTTTTTGGGGTGCCCCAACCTCATCTCCTGCCCAAGGATGAGCTGAAGTTGGGGGTAGGAGGCAAGAGGGTTTTTTTTGGGGTGCCATGACCCCCCAAGAGATAAGCCCAAGATGTGGTATGGGGTGAGAGGAGGTTTTTTTGGGGTGTCCCCACCTTGTTCTCCACCCAGGGGCAAGCTGAAGATGTGGTTCGGGGTGAGAGGAGGTTTTTTGGGGTGCTGTGACCCCCCCAGGGGTGAGCCCAAGATGTGGTATGGGGTAGGAGGAGGTTTTGGGATGACCCCAAGCCATGGTATGGGGTGGGAGAGGGGGGATTTTGGCGTGTCCCTGACCCCGTACCCCCCAGGGGCGAGCCCAAGACGTGGTACGGGGTTCCCTCCTTCGCGGCGGAGCACCTGGAAGAGGTGATGAAGAAGCTGACGCCGGAGCTTTTCGAGAGCCAGCCCGACCTGCTCCACCAACTCGTCACGCTCATGAACCCCAACACCCTCATGGCCCACGGTGTCCCTGTGAGTATCGGGGTCCCCTCAGCGCTCCCCAAAACTCCTTATCCCCCCACACCCTGAATTTTGTCCCTCTTTTTAGGTCGTACGGACAAACCAGTGCGCCGGCGAGTTCGTCATCACCTTCCCCCGGGCGTACCACAGCGGTTTCAACCAGGGTTACAACTTTGCTGAGGCCGTCAACTTCTGCACTGCTGACTGGGTGAGCCCCTGCACGCCCAAAAAACTGGGGGTGAACCCCAAAATCCAGGACAAACGCCAAAATCTGGGGTGAGAACTCCAAATTTGGGCTGGGTGCTCCTCGGGGAGGAGGATGCTCCAAGCGTTGGTCTGGGATTTTGGGGGTCTGCCGTCATGGTTCAAGCTGGGGATGCTCAGCTCCGTTGGGGGATGTGTTTTGGGGTATGGGGGGGTCCCCCAAATTTGGGGGTTCGCCCTAATGCCCGGTGTCACCTGCAGCTGCCTGCCGGCAGGCAGTGCATCGAGCACTACCGACGCTTGCGACGTTACTGCGTTTTCTCCCACGAGGAACTCATCTGTAAGATGGCGGCTTGCCCCGAAAAGCTGGACCTCAACTTGGCGGCCGCCGTTCATAAAGAGATGTTCGTCCTGGTGCAGGAGGAGCGTAAACTCCGCAAAGCGCTGCTGGAAAAGGTGGGGAAACACCAGGGGAACCCCCCAAAAAAAATTTGGGGCTGCGGTGGGACTGACGATCGTGTTTTATGGCCTCCCCAGGGTATCACGGAGGCGGAGCGGGAGGCTTTCGAGCTGCTGCCGGACGACGAGCGGCAGTGCGATAAATGTAAGACGACGTGTTTCCTCTCGGCGCTGGCTTGTTACGACGGTCCCCAGTGCCTCGTCTGCCTCTACCACATGGATGACCTCTGCAAGTGCCCCCGCAGCAAGCAGTACCTCAGGTTGGGGGGGTGTCCCCTGCTATTTGGGGGGGAGACGGGGATGGGGGCATGATCTCGGGGTGCTACGGGACTTGGTGGGCCTGGAAGAGGGGATGTGGGTAGGTTTGGAGGTGCTGGGGGCCATGGTGTGCCCCAGGGGGTGTTGTGGGTATGGTT